TAGTGCCAGTGATGGATGGTCAGAGAGATATTGTACATTGCACTACTGTATTTTCCTAATTGTAGTATTGTGTTTTTTTTTTTTTTTCAACTTTGCTTTAGTCGTCATATCAGATAACTCAACACATTTTCACTTTCCCTTGGGGTGTCAACTTATGCAGACTCGACTGTATTTTATTATATTATTTGTCTGCTTAGGACTTAGCGTATTATTAGGAGTTATTATACTAGTGTTCCATTTCTACGAAAGGAGAAAGTCTTATTAAAAAAAAAACAATCACCTGGTATTTCAGGTGAACTACCAAGTGAAAAATAAAGATCGTTTTTTCACCTTGTTTTTTCAATAAAGATAATATGCTAAGTCCTAAGTAGACAAATAATATAATATAATAAAATCCAGATTCAGTTTGTGTACTGATGATGGCCATATTTGTGTCTGGAGGCTCCGTGGTAAATGCTTCAATCCTGTCTATGCTTTGGAGCAGCACACCACCCCTGCAGCTGTTGTGATGGTCTGGAGTGACATCACAAACAATGGCTGGTCACCTCTTCTAGTGATCCAAGGGGCCATGACAGCCCAGCAGTATGTTAGTGACATCCTGCAGTCACATATGTTGCCTTTCATGGCAGGGCTCCCATGAGCCATTTTTTAACAGGGCAATGCTCGACCCCATAGCAAGAGTGTCTCAGGACTGCCTCTGTCATATTGCCACACTTCTCTGGTCTGCCCGGTACCCCGATTTGTCACCAATCAAACATATCTGGTTCACCAAATTAGACAGACTAGGAGTTTGGCCGAACTAGAGGACCACTTGCAACAACTGTAGACTGAGATGCTGCTGGACATCATATAGCATCTGTATGCCTCCATGTCTGCCTGTATCACCTCATGTATTCACACTAGAGGTGGCTCAACAGAGTACAGTACTAGAATCTCCTTTCATTTGTAGTTTTTCTTACAATAAATGATCCTTTTGCTTTTATTTTGTAATCACTTACTTGTATTGCTGTTACACTCACACATTTACAATTTTGTTAAATTCCAACTCCTTGGTGCACTAATTATGGTAACAAGTGTATAATGCATATTAAACACATTTTTTTTAATATTTGTTTTATTTATTATTATACAGGGTATCTGAGAAAGATCTTTATTATTATACAAATTCATAACACGAAAACAAAAAACAAAGCAGCCTGTTGAAATATGGTTTATGGCAAAAGAGAAAATAAATCAGAAAGTTTTTTATTATCATAAATTTAATAAACCTCTGAATTCCACAGACTCCTACAGAACTTTTTTTTCTAACCTCTTCCGCTGCTCAATGTTGAAAGTGGCCATAATCTTTCAAGTGCTAAACATTTCCACTGTTTTTAAATTTCTGTATCTAAGCATAAATTGAAGAGACACTTTGTGATGTCTTTTCATACTTCCTGTGATACTTTCTTTGTACAATTATGGTGATTTTGTTCAGCTAACCACAATATGTCATATTTTTTCCAATATTGTCATCATTTTTAATTCTGCACATTGCTAGCAGTGTTATAAACATTTATGCTAAAAACTTTTTGAGTTATTTTTTTCTTTTACTGCAAACCATTTTTCAATAGACCACTTCATTTTTATGTTATGAATTTATATAATAATAAAGATCTTTCTCATGCACACTATATAATAGAACAGTATTATATTCATTTGAAAAGTTAAATTTTGACTGTATATGACTATATATTTATCACAGAAAAAATTAATGATTTTTGCAATTTCCAAGATTCCTCAGTTTTAAACAAGATTTTTTAGAGAATTTTTTTAACAATATTAAAAAACAATCTTATTGAAATTACATTTTATGTTTATAGTACTTAAAGTATAATATTGTTAACTGTTATATGTTAAATATGTTAACTGTAATATAGTTTATTATGTTTAATAATTAATTTAAATTTATTTGTTACATTTAATTAAATTATTATTGAAATAAAGTACGTAATGGAGTTAACTTTAAGATTTTTGTAACTTAAATGATTATTAAGAATTGATAGAATTAAATAATAAATTAAAATTAAATTTTTCAGTGAACCTTTGTATCTTTTCATTGCAATAAATACAGGAATATTTATTATAAATGTTCAAAATGAAAACATTTCCTATTACAGTTTTAGAGGTAGGCTTGTTCTGCATATTAAAAATTTTTTATTGTTATCATATATTTTTAGGAGTTTTACTTTGTTTCTCTCAGATTTTAAATTGAATGATCAAGAACTTAAATTTCCCACAATTATAAGATCAACTAATATTTTTTATTCAGATGAAACAGTAAGAGTTACAATTTTAAATACTTTAAGATGTAATTAATAAATCAAATTTTAAACTTTTTTCTTTTCATTTTATAAATTCTATATTAATAATCTTTAGATAAATATGATATTAATTCCTCTACTTGGAAATAAATTCTATAAGTTAACATTAAATGTTCATTTTTCAACAATTCCTGATATAATTTCACTAGAAGTGAATAATCTAAGTCTTGAAGAAAATATCACTAATTCAAAATCTGTTGAATATTTATCATTTTTATCAAGGTGAATAATTTTATTGTGTATTTAAATTAATTATTTAATTAAGATTAGAATAAATACTAACTTGCAATATTATAAATGTAAAAGTTTTATATAAATAAAATATAATAATAGTATTTTTTGTTATATTGTGTTAAAATATTTTATTAATCCAATTAAGAAATTAAAATATGAAATAATTGAATTTTATTAAACATTTAATTAAATACAATTAAACAGGATTTTAAAACCCTTAAAAATAATTATATACTAAGTTATGTTTTGATACTTTAAAACAGTGGAAATATTCCTCCAGAATCATTTTTGCTAAAACAATTGAAAAGAAAGAAACAAGTTAAACTTGGTTTGTACATGTTTTGAAATTTTAAACTTTTAAAATTATTTATATTACATTGTTTTTTAAAAAATTTTGTATACTAAGTTTTTATTTAACATTTTTAATTAATTATTTCAAAATTAAAACTCAATTTTTAACATTTTTTAGCATTTTTAATTATTTTCAGTTAGTTATATTAACTAAGTAATAAATAATTTAAAATGTTGAATAAAAACTTATTACACAAAATCTATAGAAGTCAGAATTTAATATTATAACTCCATATAATAAATGCATTGGTTGTATGTCTATGAAGTGTATTCTCAACAGTTTTTGCTTTAATCTCATAAATTATTGATCAGGTTATAATATTGGTTTAATAACATATTTTTCAATTCCTTAAACAATGATTTGATTTCTACAAAACCAAGAATTCTCAGAAGAAGTATTTTTTATAAATAAATCATCCCATGTTGCTTGTTAAGATTACTAACAATTCTTTCTTTATAAAAATGCTTTTGGCTTTTGTTAAGCTGTCTTCAGTTTACTACATTTCAAAATATATAGAATTCTATGCTCTATAAATAATATATGATATAGAACTTTTGAACAGACAATTTTTAAATATTTTTAAACAAAATGAACATAAAAGAAACAATCCCTTAGGAAATTGACAGTTAGGGTGCGTTTACTTCTGAACTAATAGTGCTACTTCCGAACACCGGAAGTGACGTCATTAGCATGTGTATTCGTGCTTACATGTCCAGTTTGAAAGTAAACGCGAATGCTAACAACAAATATGGCGGTTTCCTGCAAATAATATTGTCAAAGCTGCTATTTTAAATGTTACGTTACAGATATAACTACTTGATTCTGAATCGGACGAGGATGATATAATTGTAGAAAAATGAAAAAATAAAAAAGAAAAGTAAGGTAAAATAAAAAAGATAGAAACTTTTATTGAAGAGACTCTACTTTTTTATAAGCCAACTGATTTTAAACAACCTTAGACTTACAAGAGAAAGTTTTGAAATTCTCCTCTAAAAAATAAGCCCAATTATAGACACCGAAAAATTACTTCCTCTGGAAGACAACCCGTGTCTCCTCAAAAGCAGCTTTTACGCTGTCTATGGGCATTGACAAATCAAGAATCATTCAGGTTTGTTTATACGAAGTAATATATGAAGTTAGATGCAGTTTATAAGAGAATAGTAGATTATACATACATATAATACATATTTAAAGCAATTGTTTTACCCAGTGAATAGATATGATGTTGTTTTGTTGTGGTGTAACTAAACTGAGTTCAAAATTAACAAATAATTGATATTAAATACAAAACACTTTTTCTTTCTTTCTTTCCTCTAAGGTATTGGCGATCGTTTTAATATGTTTAGATGGACTGCGTGGAATATTTTAAATAAAGTTGTTAATTCTTTCATACAAGTTAGTGTTAAATGAAAATGAAAAATGATCTCTTGGCCATCACACAGCAGGATGATGTAAGAATAATGAAATTTTTTATACCCAATCTGGTTTTCCTGGAATTAGAGGCTCTATTTTTGAAAAGCATATGGCTATTAAGACATCAACTGAAGAAGCAGTAGTCTATTTCAATAGAAATAAGTATTACTCTGTCATCATGTAAGTTTAGTTTGTAATGAAAAAATGGTATTCAAATGATACAATTTCTTGAGAAGTCATTTCCCATATGTAAGTGAAAATTCATTCAAGTATACAAACTTATGTAATTTTGGATTATTATTAATGCTGTTCATTTCTTTACGATTTATTTAATGCTCTGAACATAACATTTCTGAAGATTCCAAATGCGTATTAGGTAAACCTCACTTTTAATCATAAACAATGAATCGAACTTAATTTTTTTCACATTAATTAACTCTGTTTATGAAAAAAGTCATCTGAAGCTATTGAACCTTACAATGAAAAAAATATCATTGTAAACATTTTACACAACAAATAATTGAAATTTACCAATAAACATACTTTCTGCTGTTTATTTTTCGAAAACTAATTCCATTTTTAGTACTTTGCACAGAAAGTAATTTTTTCACGAGAGCAGCCATATTGAATTAGCGCAAAGCTCGATAATGAACTAGCTAGCACTCCGAGCTTACTAATTTCGCTAAACATGACGTCACATAGCTCTAAAGTAAACGCCAATGAGCGTGGCACTCGGACGAAAGTATACAGGTGAGCGTGCTGATAGTAAAATTAGCTCAGAAGTAAACGCACCTTTAGACTCACATTTACATATTATTTATAAAGATTTTAAAAATTAATGCTTTATGAAAATTATAAAAATCTATATTTATATTTCAATCATCCTATATAAATTCTACTATCTTGTACAACAGATGAATAGAACTGAAGGCAAATTTCACAATTATTAAAATAATTCCTTTAAGTAAAAATAGTAAAAAATAAACATGGCCGCCAGTTATTTACATTTAATAAATACACAATAAATATAAAACAACTTTTTCACAAAGATAAAACCTTTGCTTCTGTTTCTCTTCTGTCATTTTGCACCTGCCCTATATATATGTACATACTTTTGTTTATATTATTTTTCCACTGTCATTTTATAATATTCATATATTGTACTATTCATTATTTTTCTTATGCAACCATTTTGTAAACACGCTTACTAATTTTGATTATTCACTTTGTCTACAGTTATTTGTGATTTAGTTTTTATTATACTCTCACCGTTTTTTTTATTTTTTTATTTTTATTTTTTTTATTTTTTACTAGTTTTAATGATTATTGTTTTGTATTATTTTATTACATCTCATTCAACTGCTGTAATGTTATTGCATAATTTCCCACACTTTGTAATTCATCTGTTATCTTGTTTTGTAGCCTGGCTATGCCTTACGGTACCGAGCATGTACTTCTATGGTGCCTTAATAAAAAGATTGATTGATTTGATTGATTGATTGATTGTCATTTTGCACCATCAGCAGTCCATAAAAATTCACAAAAATATGGAGAAGACCTTCCTTTTTAGACTACTTCTTCCATAATAAAAAATGCAAAATATGGTAAAAGCATCCTCTGGTGCTTCTGCCACTGTCACAATAATAGTAAAATGGACTGCTGATGATGCAAAACAATGGAAGAGAAACAGAAGCAAAGGTTTTATATTCGTGAAAAAGTTGTATTTATATTTATTGTATACTTATTAAAAATAATTTCTGTTGAGAATATATCTGTTTTGATTTTATATTTTACATAAATAAATAAATTTAGATTATGATAACCTGTATAAATTATGTAATTTATAAGAATATACATTTTTGTTAAAGTCAGACATTCGAGGCACGTTCAAATGAAAGTGATTCGAAACGATGCATGCGAACAGTTTTCAATGTATTTTCGTGAAACAAACGCGATAGTGAAGGTTTATGTACCACGCATGCATGTGTGCAACCAGATTTGTGATAACTTCATTCGTAAGGACATGGAATTCATTTCAGAATGGCTGGTGTGGATGCAACTGCATCCAAAACAGATCAGCGAGCTGTAATTAAGTTTTTAACACTGGAAGGGTGTAAGCCGGTGGATATTCATCGCAGAATGCTGGCTGTGTACGGTGGCACGTGTGTGTCAAAGCCCACGATGACGAGGTGGGCGAGAATGTTTAGCGAAGGTCGACACGAGACACCCAGTCAGTGGCCCAGTCAGGCTCACAAAGTTGTGACAGAGAAGCTGATTACAGACATTGACACTGCAATCAAGGGAAATCGACGTCAAAACGTTCGTGATGTCGCAAATGAGTTAAACGTTTTCACTGGTAATGTTCACAATATTGTCACCAACATTCTGAAGTATTGAAAAGTTTGTTGCCAATGGGTACCACGCATGCTGTCTGAACACCACAAGAAACAGCAAATGGGCCTGAGTTTACAGCATTTGTTGCGCTACAGGGATGAGGTGACGACTTTCTGCAGCACATAGTGGCAGGGGATGAAACCTGGTGTCACCACTTCCAACCAGAAGGGAAGTCCGTCAGTATGCAATGGAAACATCACGGCTCACCTAGGTCCAAAAAATTCAAAACTCAGCAGTCAGCCAGAAAGGTGATGTTGATGGCATTTTTTGACATGCAGGGACCCCTATTACTGGAGTTTAAGGAGCCAAATATCTCCATCAATGCCCAACGGTACACCCAAACACTTGATAAGCTGCATAAGGCTATCAAAAACAAACGTCCTCGTATGCTGTCACCAGGTGTCATCATTCTGCACGACAATGCAAGGCCACATGTTGCCAAGGTGTGTGTCGAGGCACTGGCCCGTAAAAAGTGGGAAGTCCTGGAACATCCAGCTTACAGTCCAGATCTGTTGCCTTGCAACTATCACATCTTTGGACCTGAAGAAAAGTCTAATAGGTCAACGATTTCACTCTGATGATGACGTAAAGGCTGCAGTTCTGAACTGGTTCCACGATCAACCTACATCGTTCTTCGTGGACGGAATTCGTAACCTTCCTAAGCAATGGGACGCCTGTCTAAACGCCATGGGTGATTTCTTTTAACAAACTTTGTATGCATTTCACTCATTAAATATTGTTTTTTCTATCTATGTATCTGTCTTATTTCTGTCCCTACGCATCTTATGGATACACACCTTGAATCACTTTCATTTGAACACCCCTTATAGTTTAATAAAATAAATGTAATATGAGAATCCAAACTAATTTTTCTGGTAGTTAAATGTTTTATTCCTTTGTTTTGTTTTATTCGTTGTGATTAATTTTAATAACTTTTTAGTATGTTTTAATTTAAATTGTTCGATTCCATAACATTCAAATTCCATTGCAAGAATTTTCTGCAACTGAATCAGGCCTGAAAAAGGCCAAAATAATAAGGAAAAGGTGGTATGGATTTCTAATTTTATAACATGATGCCAAGATTTTGCAATGTAAAGTAAATCTAATGCAGAATTTAGTTTCATTTTTTCAAAAATAACACTATAAATTTAAACTAGAAATGTAAATTATATTTATTCATTAAAATTTTTTATTTTTATTAATTTGACTTTAAGTAACTTATATGTTGATGTTATTATTTGAATATAAATTGATCTAAATTTATTATTTTCTAAATTAAGATTAGTGTTCCAATTTAAAATTGCTAATAGAATTAGAATATCAATCTGAATTGCTTTTATTTATGTATCAAATGTTAAATTAGAAACATAAGTATTAAGAAAAATATACAAGTAATATTTTTAAACATGTATTTCAAATTAATATTTTAAAATTAATTTTTGAAAAACAATGTTAAAATAAGATTTCATTAAAATTTTTTATTTTTATTAATTTGACTTTAAGTAACTTTTAGGTGCTTTATACTTTCAGGTGTTTTTAATACAATAGTTTTACTCAACTTATGCAACATTACATCTGCAGTTTATAAAACTCCAGTACAGTAGTTTTATGTATCAGAAACAAATTTTATATTTAGATTGGTTATTTTATATATTATTGTATTTTTGTGGAATGACCAGCATGCCGGTTTAAATTAGGCTATACATCCCTCTCTAGAGGGCGCATTAAAAAAAACGAATAAGTTACGTCAAGTAAAAACAAATGAGTTTTTATTCTAAACTGTCAGCATTACATCAAAAACTACCATTATATATTTAATTTCTTAAGTTTTTGTTCTTTCTAATGAGGTTAAATTATCTTGGAATTCCGAAAGTGCTTTTTTTTATGTGTATTTTATTGTTATTTGATTCATAAATGTAAAAATAAGCATATTAAATTTAAGAAACTCATTGTAAATTATAAAACAAAACTTACTCTAACATCTTGTAAATGTGCAGCCGAATTTATTAACTTCTAACATTTTCGGTCATATTAAATTACCTTTATCAAGAAAAACAGTAAAAGTCGAACACTTAGCACCTTTACAAACACCGAAACCTTTACAAACAGGTCATTTAACATGACCAAAAATGTTAGAAGTTAATAAATTCGGCTGAATATTTACAAGGTGTTAGAGTAAGTTTTGTTTTATTGATTAATATGCAGTCTCTGAGGAATTGTAAATTATCTCAACTTATGTCCATTAACATCAGCTTTGTGTGAATTTCAGAGAAAAGTGATATTTTTAAGGTGGAGCCCACACCAACTACCACTGTCACTACTACTAATGTCAATAAGTCGTTAATTTTCTTATTGTCTTGTAAAGGAAAATGCTTTTATTCTTGCGAGCGCTTTCGATGTAAATATGCATGTCGTCTTCAGGCAATTCAAAAACAAAATTCGAAAGCGCTCGCAAGAATAAAATATTTTAATTATATTTAACGCCTCATAGTCTGAAGTTTTGGAAGAAGTTTTAATTGAGATAACTGTTGGCGTGACATCCAACCCCAGTACTTACTACTCCTAAAAAGAAAATGCTTTTCCTGATTTTAAGTTAGTCAAATTACAGTGTTATTATTTTATTGTACTCAAAAGAATGTTTTCTTTAATGTTTAATTAATAACTAGTTTTGTTACATCTGATTAATTTTATTTTTTAGTTGCAGTTTAACTGGCATGCTGGTTTCCCTCGTTTATATGTGACATGTCAAGCCAGTTATTCCACGAAAATATGGTACCAATATAGGTCAAATTTGTTTTAACTCTCAATCTTATGAACATAAGATCTTTCAATATGTCCATCATATGACCACATCAGCTATATCTAGGTCAGATAAACTGTAAGAATATATGAATCATACCTGTACTTGAGCCTAGTTCTCTTAGAGTTTTTTTTTTTTCGTAACTCTTTCTGCCCTGTGGGAACTAACAGGGTCTCTTTTAGCAAGCCCATTATGGATTTTGCCAGGTACACATTGGGGTGGCTGGGTGATGAGGGATGGAGCCCAACATATCCAGATGGACCAACCCTGAAAAATTCCTGGGGATTTTTTGAAACGTTCAGATTTGATCCCGGGTTCCCCAGAGTGGTAGGCTGCTACCTTGACTGCTCTGCCATCCAACCCAGTTCTCTGAGAGTAGTAGACATATGCTTTAGCTATTTTAACCATCTAGTCATCAAATCTTTATTAAATTAGTACTATTAGAAATAATTTATTTTTGATATTATTTTAAATATATTCAATTTATTATTATTTTGTTAATTAATCAAATGCATTCATATTAAAAATTTTATTTTGTAAATCTACAATATTATAATTTAGTTTAAAATATTTTTATCTAATAATAGATAAAACTTCAAAATCAAAAATGTTTCAGCCATTAACTTTTAAATCTAACATAAAATCATCTGGATATAATCAAGTTTCCAGGTAAGAAGAATTGAATTGATAAAGCATATGTTAGCATTTTTTTCTATTTCTAAAAATATCAATATTTTCCAAATTTTACAATACAATTTTTTCTTTTTAAATACAATTAAAAGAAGAAAACTTTTTCATCCTATTCTTAATAAACAACACAACAATAATACAATACTCAAAAAGAGATCCTCTTCTGATTTGGCTTGGAAAAAGTAAGTTTACTTATTTTACATTATTTTATAAATGTAATATCAAAACAAAACATTGAATTGCTTTCCAGAAAAGAAATAATCAAATGCTATTGGGAAAAGGAACCAAAACAATTATATTCTGAAAGATTAGAAAATTCAAAAAACTTAATTTTACAAACTACAGGTAAATTTTAATTTAATGTATTGAAATACCCTTCATAAAAACTATTCTTAATTTAGGTTTTAGTATTTCTTAATATTCTCTGTGAAAATAACATACAAAAATAAAATTACATATCTATTCTGAAATTAAATATTAATGTATTGTCAAATTATTTTGAATTACTATTAAATTATTCAATATTGATAATTTCACACCATACTAAACTGAGAATAAACTCAATAATTTGCATATTATTAGCATATATTATTTTAGTACCTACTGTAGAGTACTTGTTGTTATGGAGTATGTTGTTACTCATCAGGCTTAAAGTCTGAAATTCATAAGAAAAAATATATGTAGCCTACAAAGTTTCCTTGCAGCCCACATCATGAAAAGGTTGCTCACCACTGCTCTAGAATATAAGCTCCTTCATACATTAATTCAAAAAGTTAAATATAAAAACACTGACTGGTTTTATTTGTTGTCATTGATTATGGTTTCTGATAGGTTTAATCTCATTTAATTATTATCTAATATATCATGATATATTTTGGTTTCAGGTAAACCTACATTGATTATGATAGCTTGCAACATGATTGTGATAAAGCAGATGTTTCAACTTTTTATTCATGGTATTTGTTAGTTAAAAAAAACTCTTACTATTTATTTTACCTTAGCTTACATTATGAATCAGTTTATTTAATACTTCAGGTAAGACTAAATAAGTTTGGGATATGCTGTGATAATCAATTGTTGAATTATATCCAAATAACTGTTCTAATTGTAAAGAATTGAATCTATTACATATCCACCTACTTCTAAAGTGTAAATCATATTGATTATTAACCTTTTCCTTACCAATTGCCGTGCCCCCTTGTTTATGTTTAGTGTGTAAACAGCCCAAGGTCAATGTAGGTGAATCAGGCAATATTATTTTAAAAATCCACCAAAATAATTTATATATTCATATGAAAAAAATTATATATCTTTATCAATATATTTATTGTTAAATATGACATTTTTCAATAAATTTTATTTAAAAAATTTGAGGAAAAAAAATTTTATCATAACTGACATTCAAAGTTGAAAATTTGTTACTTTTTGTCAAAATTAACATTGTCCGGTTACTTCATTCTTATTGGCACTTGGCCAGAACAATGTAGAATATTGTTTTGTACAATTATATGTAACTTTTATGCATGTATGTATTTTCGTTTTCAAATTATCACACATTAATAAAAAACAAAAGTTATTATTTCAAGCAAATTTTTACTATAATCTAGTAAACTTTATTTTTGTGAAAATAAGCAAAAATTAAAATAGTTTTGATATAAACATAATCATTATAATACATACATATAACATACGTTGATTTTTAACTCAAAATTTAACATTAATACAAAAAATAGGAAAAAGAGTAGAAAAAAATGCATTTTTGATGCTGCCAGGTCCAAATCTGTAAGAGAGTATTTATTTATTGAATTTGCTGCAAAATGATAATGCAGATAAATATAATGTAGAATGTTTGATCAGAATTATATCACATACTTATCCTATCAGCAATGATGCTTTGGGTAACATTCAGGATGTAACTCCTTTAAATGAGTGCAGATTGTTCTCGATCTCCGTTTTAGTCCCATACTAGTGCAGACACAGCACCTTGATTCCTTTCCTTCTGGTAATTTTCTTAGTTCTCTCGAATCATTATAATACATACATATAACACGTTGATTTTTAACTCAAAATTTAACATTAATACATAAAAAATAGGAAAAAGAGTAGAAAAAAAATGCATTTTTGATGCTGCCAGGTCCAAATCTGTAAGAGAGTATTTATTTATTGAATTTTCTGCAAAATGATAATTCAGATAAATATTATGTAAAATGTTTGATCAGAATTATATCACATACTTATCCTATCAGCAACGATGCTTTGGGTAACATTCAGGATGTAACCCCTTCAAACAATGAGTGCAGATTGTTCTCGATCTTCGTTTTAGTCCCATACTAGTGCAGACACAGCACCTTGATTCCTTTTTTTTTTTGGTAATTTTCTTAGTTCTCTCGGTCCTAGAGGATCTGGAGGATCTGGAGGAAGTTGTTTTGTTGCCATCCATTCCTCCTCCAAGCTCTCTATTATCGATATATAAAAGGCGTACCTTGATTTTAATTTTCCTGGGCCTCCAAAATTTTCCTTGTATAATAGATACGAGTTCAACACCATCCTGCCTATAATGTTGAACCCAACCTTCTTCCAGTATTTTATGGTCTTTCTCTCATCCAAGTACGCATACAGCATCATGTCCGATGTATCGACTCCACCCATAAATTTATTATATTCTAATATTATTTGTGGCTTTGACTTAGCCACTCCGCGCCTAACAATTTGTCCTTCACACGCCCTCGCATGGCTGGATAGTAGCAAGACCGGATTTTTTTGTGACAATTTCTCTCGGAAGCCACAGGCTAGCAATGGGCCAGATCTAAAATAGGATGTTTGGCCAACAGAAAACTTCGACGATTTTAGTGGGGCAGGTAAATACTTTTTATTTCGTCGAACAGTGCCAGTGATATAGGTACCCAATGAATATAAATTTCGAACAAGAGGAACCGACATAAAGAAATTATCTACAAAAAGATGATAACCTTTATTGAGGTACATCCCCGTCTCAAGCAGTTTTTTTACGACGCTGTACCCTAGACCAAATTTAGAATTGTTGTCCTTTTCCTGCTGAGTCCTGGCCCTTCTATAAGTGAAAAAACTCAAGCAGTAATTAGAGACTGAGTCACACAGCATCCAAAATTTTATGCCCCACTGATGATGTTTTTTTGGAAGGTGCTGCAAGAGAGAGGTTCTAATTGTGGTACCAACAAGGCTCTCATCCACACAAATTTGCTGGTGTGGTGTGTAGTAATGTCGGAACACTCTGTTAGCATGATCGACCAGCGGTTGAAACTTTGCACAAGGATCGTATCCTTCTTCCGCTGGGCCGGATAACTTAGAGTTATCGACGAGATGGAAAAAACGTAACAAGTGATAAAAGCGGGTTCTTGAAAACATTTTCCCAAACCATGGAGTGGCTTGGGAGGAAGAAGTGGACCAGTAATATGCTATTGCACGCTTTTTGATTAATCCCATGTTCAATATACATGCTATAAACCCCTTTATTTCTAAAACCGAAATTTTGGTCCAGTTCTTCAGAGCGGGCGGTACATTATTCCCCATGCCATTTATTACTTGTTGTGCGTAACGATTTGATTCCGTTACGATTAGATTGAGCAAAGTCATTGTGAAAAAAAGATTGAAATACACAATTGGGGGTGAATCTGGCGGTGGCATGTGCTTAGGGCCAGCTAGCTCTAGGAAAGTGAAAGGAAGTGAAGAAGATTGCTCCGGAGAAAGAACCTCCTGATAGTCCTCATCATCGTCATCATTTCTGGATTTTGTATGGTTATTAGAGAGGCTTGGAGAGGGAATATCCTCATCAGAATCATTATCCGATCCTTCGTATACACTAACATCAGGGTCAGAGTCAGACTCTGATATCGTATCCGAGAAATTTTCTATATTATCTAAAAGGTCAGAGTTGTCCAACACTTTTTGGATTTTAGATGTTGATGCCATGATTGTGAAATAAATGTTCGTAAAAATCGATAAATCTAATAAAAAAAAAAATAAACTATATGTAATGATATGTTACAATATAAACCTAAAACTATAATTAATAAAATTACGATAACTAAATCCAAAATATAAAATAGAACAATTACAAATAATTTATTATATATATGATGCAATATAAAATCAAAATTTATAATTAAAATTATAAAAACTGTAACTTATATATCTTAGATAGGAAATTACTTTATTTTATATACAAACTATGTAGAAAAATGACTGAATAATTAAATAAAATGGACAAAGAAAAAATATAGCACCTTACCTGCAACACACACAACAGTAGCCTTCATGCAAGAAAGCAAGAGTGAACTTTGAAAATTCAAAACAATGGTTTTATAGGTCAACACAACACCACCTGGACACAAACATGTGAAATATAGGGTAAACAATACATTCTCGTCAAGTGCTGACATCTGTTGTCGATAGATTTCATAAAAAATTATTTTTACCAAAGTACACACGAATCATTACTCCAGTCATTTTCATTAACGATGAGGGGTATGAGAGATCAGGACCCTGGTCGTGAGAAGGTTAAAGAAAAAAATTTTTGGACTAGAATTATTACTAGACAATGATTGTTACAATGTACTTTTTAGATTTCTATACTCATTGCCATAAAAATTAGCATACCAAGGAGGAATTGTTGTATCGCTGCAAAACTGATAAGTCTCAAGCAGATAGGGAAATGATTAGAGTTATAGCATGATGGATCATTGTGTAATGCAGCAGAGGGTGTTAAACTATGTTCTCCTTGTCGTATAAAAATGTGCACAAAAGCATCCTGTCTGTAGTGTACCTGTTGCAGAGGGATGCTGTATCACTAGGGATGCCTTTATGTTGCAATTGAAGACCATATGAACAACTGAGTTTGAAAGCAATACCAACTAACTGTGATATGATACCAAATGTTCTTGAGGTATCACAGCAGCCATTATGTGTACTGCCATTGATACCACTCACTGTCACCTCCATTTGGAGTATGTCACTCCCAACAGGATTGGATCACAACAGAATGGAACCAGGTTGTCTACAGTGACAAATCCAGATTCAGTTTGGGCACTGATGACAGCTGTGTTTTTGTCTGGAGCCTTGTGGTGAATGCCTTAATCCTGTCTGTGTATTAATCATAGAGGATTACCTTACATACACTGCTCAATCCTTTTTTTTCTCTTCTTTCTATCTCCACACCCTCTTCCGTTCGCCTCTTTTCCCTTCTTCCACCAGCTAAACACTTTGTGTGCAGTTGTTGTCTTTTATTAAAAAAAACCCTGTCTGTGCTTTGGAATGGCACACCACCCTCACAGCTGGTATGATGATCTGGAGTACCATCATGTACTACAGCTAATCACCTCTAGTAGTGATCCAAGGGGCCATGACAGCCTAGTGGTATGTTAGTGACATCCTGCAGCCACATGTGTTGCCTCTCATGGTAAGGTTCCCAAAAGCCATTTTTCAACAGGGCAATGCTCGACCCCATAGCAAGAGTGTCTCAGGACTACCTCTGTCATATTGCCACACTTCTCTGGTCTGCTCGGTACCCCAATTTGTCACCAATCAAACATATCTGGTGTCACCTGGTTCATCAAATTGGACAGACTAGGAGTTTGGCCGAACTAGAGGATCACTTGCAACAACTGTAGACTGAGAGACTGCTGGACATCATATAGAACCTGTATGCATCCATGTCTGCCTGTATCACCTCATGTATTCACACTAGAGGTGGCTCAACAGGGTACTAAAATTGCCTTTCATTTGTAGTTTTTCCTACAATAAATGATCCTTTTGCTTTTATTTTGTAATTACTTATAACACCATTACATGGGAGGTGCTACTGAGCTTTGCAGCTGTTTTTTGTGAGAGTTGATTAAGATTATTGGATTAAGTTCGTATTGTAAGGTGACTGTTTTTGTGGAAAAATTACAAATTCTTCTGTTGGTTTTATTATTGTGGTTAGATAATTTTTATATGTATTAGAATTAAGAAGTAGAAATGACAGTTAGGATTCCTCCTCATAGGGATAAACTTCAGACTTCTGGGAGACATAAATGCTTGCCTAGCAAACCTTGCATTAAAGTAAAACATTTAGAGTCTTAATTTTGCCACAGGAGGAAGAAGACAGTAAAATGTATAATGATTTTGTCTCATTAAGAAATTTTTTGAAACTTCTCTAGCCAAGTTAGATGAGAAAATAGACCTTATTTCTATCTGGATGGCTTTGGCGTCGTATTGTAATAGTATCACTGTACTGACAGCAAAATTAGAAGAAAATAACAATATGAAAAACTGAATGGCTCACTTTGAGAATGCCATACAAGAGTCTATAGCATATAACGGAGTTTTGTGGCCCTTTTTATTAGATAGAATTTCTAACATTCAAAGTAATAATAACTTAATGATATTTAATCTGTCAATCCCAAACAAATTAAATTAAAAAACCTATATTACACAAATACTTATATTGGTCAAACCAACATTCTTAATAAGTGAGAATGATATTATTAAAGTTGAAAGGTGAGGAAGGAATAATTAAGATATTTATTGTGTTACACTGACTAATGTATGCTTCTGAAATCTGATTTTTGGTAAATTCTGGAAAAAAGCAGCACAAGTAATTCATTTGAGAAATCGTATTCCTTATTTGCAGATTTGTCTCCAGGTTCATGTGTGCGCTGAAAACATTTATTAAACTATCTTAAAAATGTTAAATCAGAAGGAAAAAAAATACTTTTAAGAGATGATATTTTAATCATAGATGATAAACAATTTATGTATTACTTTTCTAATCACCTAAAAGAGGGTTTTGGATGAATAAAAACTTAATTGTTATGTCCTTCAGATCCGACTTTCACTGGAGTTCAATAAATAAAACATCTTAAAATTGATCTCTGAGTAATCCTAGAACTCCACTGAAAGTTAGATCTAAAGGACATAACAATTAAGTTTTTATTTGTCCAAAACTGCTTTTTAGATGGTTAGAAAAGTAACAGAGTACAGTACATCCAGCTAATATTGCTAATTATAGCATTTTATTAATTTACATGTTCTTTAGTTAACCAAAATCTTATTGAATTTCCAAATTTTTTAAGGATAGATATATCCTATTGCTCATAGTCCAAATATACATGGTAATACAGATAAAATACTTTTCTCTTGAGAGTTTGTTTCCTGGAATTTGCATGGATTTTCTAATAATTGGACAACTGTTTCAAATTGGCTATTGGGAAGTCAGGGATTGATGACTTTTGGATGCAGTGAGACTTGGTGTCAACAAGAAGCAATTCTAAAGTTACTGGATTTAATTCCTAGTGATTGGATTATTTGTTTTTTAGATGTAATTTGATCAAATATTTATGGTCACCCTTCAGGAGGTTTGTTGCTGTTCTTGAATCAGAAATTAGGAAGTTGAGATTTAATTGTTTCTAATTCTGAAGTTATTGCTGTTATTATGTGGAATTCAAAGATTTTTAGGAATATAAGTGTTTTACTCATTCTAACATATATTAATATGGCAAGTAAATTATCTTATATTTTGAATAGGGTCTCTGAAATTTTAGAGCACCATTCTATTTTTTATGAAGAAATACTAATTATGAGAGATTTTAATGCTTGCATTGGAGACTTATTTGATTATCAGATTGGAGACAATAATTCTGTTATATTACAGTATAGAAAATCCAAAACCACATGAATAATGCAAGCAGAAAATTAATTGAATTTACTCATGATCACGACTTCATAATTTTAAATGGTAGAATAGCAGATGACTTTCCAGCAGAATTTACCTATTTTACACTTAGAGGGGGTTCCGTGCTGGACTATTCATAATATCTTTTTAGTATCCAATACTAAAAAGCTTTTCTATACTAAATCTCAACTAGTCTGACCATTTTCCTTTTTGAGTACAGTTCAACTTGATTTCTCAGAAAAACAATAAGTCAATTTACATGTTTAAGTAAAAAATTTGTAAATGTTGGTCTCTGTTACAGATTTAATTATTTGCAGAGAAAATCAGTGAGTTCATTGTCAATAATGTCCAAATGCTGATTAACTGTTTTGAGTTCTATAAAAACTTAATCTCGTGTTTATTACATATGGCTAGACAACTAAAAATTTACAAAATTATCACAACTGATAATTGGAAAGTGCCGTGGTTTGATGAAGCCTTGTTTTGGCCAAACATCAGAAATCAGCTAGTCTCAGAAGGTTTTTACAGTTAAATACTGAATATGAATGAAATAAATATTTACAAATGAAATGAATATTTAATGCTTTATGTAAAGCTAAGAAAAGAATTTACTCATGATTGAATTTACTCATGTAAATTCAATCACGAGAAAAGAAGAAAAGAAAGAATGAAAGTACTAATAAAGTACTTTCATACTTTCTTTTCTTAGCTTTACATAAAGCATTAAATAACAGTTGGTCAAAACTAGAGACACTTAATCTTTTTGGAATCAGTTAAACAGATTTTGTCAACAACAGATATCTCTGAGGAATGAGATATCGCTATACGAAAGGTATACATTTTATTCAGATTTATATGCTAGTGGAATCTCTAGTCCTTACATCTCACTTCTGCTGGAGCCTCAAAACTTGCATTCAGACCCGTTATTGGACTTGCCAATTTTTAATGAAGTGTAATTGTAATAATAAACAAGTTGAAAATAAATTCTGCACCGGGGATCACGAATAAACTTATGTCCATCTATTATAAAATGCAGGTCCTGATATGTATTGTTTTTTACGTTTATTATTTAACAAAATATTAGATTCCAGTAAGATTCTGTCATATTGGAAATCGATAAGATTAAAAATGATTTATAAAAAAGGTGATTAGATGGATTGTCTTATCACAAAAATGATCTGTCTAATTATCAACTCATAGCTCTTCTTTCTACACTTTGTAAACTATTTACCAAGATTTTGGCTAATCATCTGAACAAATGGTTACTGATGCACAATTTATTGAACCCACTAGTTTGGATTTTGTGAAGAATGATGTACCATTTTGAATATTTTTTTTTTATTGCATACTTTAATAAAAATGCAACTAAGTGTTAAGTGTCAATGTGTGATTGCATGTTTTGTTGATTTTCATAAAGCTTTTGATTCAGTTATCATGCCAAAACTAGAGGATAAACTACAACGATTAGGAGTCTCAATGAAATTCTCATCACTGATTAAAATACTGTGTTCAGATCTGCTGCTCAAATTCATACCATAAAAGGTCAATCAGAATTTTTTCATTTTTTTCAAGCTCTGTTCTTTTTTCAGTCTATATGAATGATTTATCATTTATATTTAAAGACCTAGAATCAGACAGGTTTATGCCACAGAATATAGATATTCACACATTACAATATGTTGATGATTTGGTTTTACTAACAAAAACCTAATAAATCTGCAAAGGAAGTTAAATAGGTTACAAGAATATTTTTTCAGGAAAATGGTCTTCAAATTTCCAGGATAAAACAAAGATTCGTACATTTGGCAATGGTTCTCGATTACAAAAAGCAGACAAATTTTTTATTGACAATAAATATATAGGAATAGTTAGAGATTTCTTATCTAGCAGTTGTCTTTGCTTCTCCTTTAACTTTTTTTTTATAAATTGGAAATGATTAGCAAGAAA